TCCCAGTCCGGAGGGACGCGACTCATAGGCCTGTGGGAACGGGCGAGAAAAATCCCAGCATTAGTGTAGGGATAAAAACCAAGCAGCCCAGGTGATCGCTGTTTGTAATGTGTGTCGCCTCATTAACAGCTCTCACTTTGGGGCTGTATGCTTTCTTTTACAAACTGATTTAATATGTAAATGTTGTTTTGAGAGGAATAATTTCACTGGGTTTAACCGAAATCCTAATATAAAAGAAATAGTAACAACAGAGATCGAGAGACAACAACAGACCGCCCTCCCACTCCTCCTCCCCCAAGAGAGAACAAGACTCATATTCCTTATCTGTGATATTGTCCCTCACAGGTTATATGAAATTAGCAAGATTTTTCAAAATTTACTATCAAACTAAGTAAACGCACACTAGTAGCCTCAAATTTGAACTTCTTGTCCATGTTTCATAATGAAATATACGAAAGATAGATAGATAGATACCATTGTGTACTCTGAGATACCCAAAAAGAAAAAATGAAACAAAACAAAACAAAAAACTTTCCTTGAACTATGCAAACCCTTTCTATTTGTGTCTTATTCCATCACCCTGCCTCCATTATACACCAGAAGAAATAACAAAAGATCAGTCAGCGATAAAGGCTGTGGAGGAATTTAGGTAATGTTTTTCTCTTCTAGAAGTAAAGTGTTGTCTTTGGTGCTATATATTAAACAGGAAAAAGTGTGGATGCTCCTGAATGCCTGGGGTTATCATCATCATCATCATCATAACAATAACACACACCCCTTTCAGCTTAAAGCAGCTAATAAGAGGCAAAGAGAAAGCTAACTGTTGTTTCTGGTAAAGGGGTGGGGGTCATGAATGTTTGACAGGCCTGAAAACCCCTAAAAATAAAAACAGGGACAAATCAATGCATTGGGCAAAATGTTGGCTGTGTGACAATGTTTTCCAATGCATTTTTAAAACTACAACAGTATTTTGTGACTTATTAAGGAAGATGTAAAGATTATAGATTATTTGGTAATTTATGGTTCTATTATTTCACTTTTTATCTCCGATCACAGTAACATTGATCAAAAACTACATTTGCTTGTGACAGGGACTTAAGTAGAAAGCCTGGGAAAATTGTGCAAGTTCTTGAGTAATATCAAGAACACAGTTTAAAGCATTGAAATCAAAGCTAGATTCCTAGGAAGAGATAACTTTTAGTCATTTTGGAGGAGAAGAACTTTTTTTTTCCCCCAGAAGTTTCCAATACAAGTTTGTTATATGGCTTCTTATAACAAGGATTGTTCTGGCTCCCTCAGGGTATTTATTTCATTCAGGACAAACCAAACACTTAAAATTCGACTTGCATTGGGATTTAGGTAGATGGGTAGGGCAAATAAATATTGCCTTTTCGTGTTTGGAAAGGGGAGGAACAACTTAATCATAAGCTTGGAACCAAAAAAAAAAAAAAAAGGAGGATTTAGGATTCTGCAAGAAAACCCAAAGAATCTATAACAGAGTTTCTATTTTGCCATTAACAAAACAAACAAGGCTCCCTCATTGTCTTCTTAGTAAACTAAACAATTTAAAAGTGTTTAATTTTAATTTAAATTAAACTATTTTAGAAGCTTCAAAATTTGCCAAATACGTGGTACATTTACTGTTTTGTCCTTTTCAAACATTTGGAAATAAAACAAAAAAACTAAATAAATTGGACAATAAGACAGAAATACTTCTTAAATTCATTTTGAACTTAAAGGCAATCCTGACTTTATAGAGATATTATTATTAGTTAACACGTTTGGTGAAGTTTTGATAGAAAATATTAACAAATGTCATAATATCTGTCAGTACTTGGATTTGTAAAGTCCTTCTCCAGTCTTTAGGATCAAAAAAGCAGGGTTATCTTTTTTAAAAGAATATAATTGATGCTTTGGCATATTTGTTACTCAAATGACACTTTCAAACACTTGTCAAATAGGCAAATCCCAAAAAGACCAGTGAAAAGCAAACTGTTAAAATATTAACTATACAAAACATGTGTACTCCTTAGCCAATATTTTTCCTTTTTTAATTTAGTGCCCACTGAAGAAGAAATTAACCCAGGTCAAATGAAAGCTTTTTTGCCGTTAAGGAAAGGGGAGGGGGAGGAGGAGAAAGGAAGAGGGAGGGACACGCGACAAACGTAAAACAAACTGGTGGCATTCAGTCAAGAAGGCCGGTAAGGCTCCGGGGGCCGGTGAGTTGTGCAAATCAGCTGGGCGCTTCAAAGCTTCCCATAGCCGGGCTGTTTCGTGTTTCTTTGCTTTTTTCTTTAAACCTGGCCCTGTGACGAAGGAGTGCAGCAGGAGGGGGATTCTTTGCTGTTGGAAAGCGGCAGGTAGGAAAGGGAATCTGATCCGCCCCAAAAGGCAGCAATTAAAGTCTTAACCGCGACCCATCTGTCGTGGGACAGGGACCTCCGCCCACCCCATCCCCCTTCCCCAAGCAAAGCCTGTCCTTTTGTCTGAGCAGGGGAAAGGAAGAGATATTCTATTGCCCCAAGAGCAAAGGAAAGAAAACTTCCATTTTGGCAGAACCCTAAGTGGTTGTGCCCCAGCGAAAGAGAGCTCCGAAGCTCCTCCTAGTTTGTATGGAGTCTCTGTCCCAGCTCTGCCCAGGTGTCCCACGATTGCATCCTTCTACCCTTATACCCTTCTTCACCCCTGCATCAGTCTTCCCAACTAGAAGCTATCCTGAGACTGGAAAGAGCCCAGACCTAGTGCTAAGGCGGGTCGATGGCATCAGACCTTTCCCCCATCTGGCCTCTTGGCCGCCTGCAACTACAAATAGGACTAACTCCCCTCCCCCATTTCTTGAGTAACTGTTCCCCCACCACAAACCCAAGTGCCCTGCCTTGCAGTTGGGCCTCAGGTGGATTCCCAGTTCAATCTCTCTTCCTTTTTCACATTTCTCGGTTCCCAGAGTAGGGATGAGGGGCCCGGGTTCCTGACCTGGCCCGTGCTGGGAATGGGGTACGGAGGAGGGAATAATTGGAGGCCATTTCCCTCCGTTTGAGGTCCAGCTGAGCATCTTTGGGTGAAACTGGTTAAGGGCTTAACAATGCAATGGTTTGTAGTCTGCCTTCATCCAACTCCCACTGCTGACCCTTTCCAGGGTTCTTCCAGTAGGCCAACACACCACGCTTGGTCAGGTACCCGTCACCCACTCCACACCCACCCAGTCACAGTTAACAGGCAGATGGCACCTTGAAGTACTGCAGGAGGCTACTTACCTCGGCTTCCAAGCAGTACCTTCCCGTGCTTGCAGTTTAGTGCTTTCTGGCTCTGACTCTGACTCAAAGCGATCGGGTCTTCCAGCTCCCTGCAGACCGGGTTGCGCGCCTTACCTCGGGGCTCAGCTACACACAATCGCTGACTCTCAACCGGTTGCACCAAGGAGTGTGCGCGCAGTTGCTCACCGCGCGCTCCGCCTGAGCCGCGGGAACCCGCACAGTCCGAGCCTCTACTACTAGAATCTTCCCGAAACCCTCCAAACGCTCTACCGCTCAGTCCTAGGAATTTGAGCCCAAGCGCCACAACAGGCAGACGCCTGGTTTGGGGACGTTGCTGGGGCATGGTGCTCTACAGGCTCTCTTAGGGAAGTACAGGCGTGGCCGCGACTCCTGGCTACAGCAGTTCGCCCTGCTCGCTGCACAGCTGAGCACAGACACCCTGGCTGCCGCTGGCACTGCTTGGGGGGAGCCATGTAGACACTGGTAGCCGGGATGGGGATCAATAAGTTCTGTTCCCCTTCTCCGTTCGACATTGAGTGCTTAAAAATGCTCTGCTGGGAGAGAGCTCTAGCTGAGAGCAGGTTCTTTAAAGAAATGCTCTTTCCGGATTCCCAACTGAAACTCATGGAAGCGCGCGCTCGCGTGTATTTGTGTGTATCCGGGGTGGGGTCCGATCCAAGTCAGAGTTTCCTGCGGTGTGATACCCGCTTATTCCTTGCAACTCCTCTACTTTGTGGACAGGAGTGCATCTTTCCCAGGCTATTGCCACCGGCATCGCCTTTACAAAACCACAAACACATAACAAGCCTCCCCAAGGCCTTTCATTCTCAGGGGCATTTGGGGAGGCCAGTTACCTGCTGGCTTCTTCCAAATGGTCCAGACTCGGATCGGGCCTTGGAGACTCTGGGATGCCAAGAGAGTGCCACCCCCAGACCTGGAGGAAGAAAGAGGACTGTGTAACAGGCGACACGGCCCCGATCACGGTCCAGCGGAACCAAGCAAGGAAACGTCAGATTTCTCTGCCAAAGGCTTCCTGGCCAAGGCTTTCTGAAGCCTGGCGTTTGATAAATATAGCCTGGCATTTGCCCCTGAAATTAGACTGTTTCCTTATTTAGCCCTTGCACAATGATTTTAGATGATGTCACTTAGAGCTAAACGAGAAAATTGATCTCAGATTTGCTTGGCCTCTAAAGCCTGGTTAAGCAGATTGAGAATTAAAAAGACGGAGGAAGTAGGGGGGAGGGGGTGGCTGGAGGGTAGCAAAGTGTGCACCGGCAAGTGCGCGAGCGAAGGGGAGGGCGCGGCGCGTTGCAGAGAGCGCCCCCGCCTCTTCTGGGCGGAGGAACTTCGCTCACCAATGAAAAGTAGTCAATGACTGCAGAGGAAAAAAAAAAAAGTTTTCCTGTTGACTGTTGGAAGCGAATTGAGCAATTATCTAGTTTACCTTCTCCTCTTGGAAGTTAACGATTGGCGAGATCTTGGCTGCGTTATTGACACAACACTTTCTATTGATAGAAATAAGTAGTGATTGTCCCCGAGTCATTGGTGCGCCAAGAACTCTGCGATGGGCTGGCAGGAGTCCATTGGGCTGGGCAGGCAGGTTCGGCTGGTGATGCTGGGGAGGAGGAGGAGGAGGCTGCTGGTGGTGATGGTGCCCGTCCTCCTCTCCGCAGGTCTGTGACAAGCAGGGAACAAGGCAACGACCGCGCAGCCCAGCCCTGGCTGACGGACGCTGGCGACTCAGACATGGACAGTAGCTGCCACAACGCGACCACCAAAATGTTAGCGACTGCTTCAGCCCGGGGCAACGTGATGAGCACATCCAAACCCTTGGCTTTCTCCATCGAACGAATTATGGCGCGCACCCCAGAGCCCAAGGCCCTGCCTGTCCCTCACTTCCTGCAGGGAACCGTGCCCAAAGGGGACCCTAAGCACTCTCTGCATCTCAACTCGTCGATTCCCTGCATGATCCCCTTTGTGCCTGTGGCATACGACACGAGCTCCAAGGCAGGAGTGACCGGCTCAGAGCCGAGAAAGGCGAGTCTGGAGGCCCCGGCGGCGCCCGCAGTAGCGCCCTCCGCGCCAGCGTTCAGCTGCAGCGACCTGCTCAACTGCGCTCTGAGTCTGAAGGGCGACTTGGCCCGTGATGCACTGCCGCTGCAGCAGTACAAGCTGGTAAGGCCGCGTGTGGTCAACCACTCTTCCTTCCACGCCATGGGCGCCCTGTGCTACCTGAACAGAGGTGATGGCCCGTGCCACCCGGCAGCCGGCGTGAACATCCACCCGGTGGCCTCCTACTTTCTCAGTTCCCCTTTGCACCCGCAGCCAAAAACATATTTAGCCGAAAGGAATAAACTGGTGGTCCCGGCGGTGGAGAAGTATCCTTCCGGAGTAGCTTTCAAGGACCTGTCTCAGGCTCAGCTGCAGCATTACATGAAAGAAAGCGCCCAGCTTCTGTCAGAAAAAATTGCGTTCAAAACCTCGGATTTCAGCCGAGGATCTCCTAATGCCAAGCCCAAAGTTTTCACTTGCGAAGTGTGCGGAAAGGCAAGTACTCTGAAGAAGTCTCAGTCTCTCTATCTCTATCTCTTCTTTCCCTTCCTTTCTTCCTTATTTTTTGGGGGGTAATTATTTGTATACACTTGTTATACTTCCTCCCCTCCTCCTCCCTAGTTTCAGAGTGCTTAATTTCAGTGTGCTTGTCTGGCTAACTTGTTCTACGTGTCTTTAATCTTAAGGTCTTTAACGCGCACTACAACTTAACCCGTCACATGCCGGTGCACACAGGAGCCAGACCCTTCGTATGCAAAGTGTGTGGAAAGGGCTTCCGACAAGCCAGCACCTTGTGCAGGCACAAGATCATTCACACGCAGGTGTGTTCCTCTGTCTCAGATTCACCTGGTAAACTTAGGAACGCTGAAATGACTGATAAAACCTTATTCTTTAGCATAAGATTTGTTTAAATGTGCTATCTGGGGAGTTGCAACATATCATTTGCCTTTGTTCTGCTTATAAGTGTTAGAGCATCACTGTTTTGCTTGCAGGACTGCACGTAATAATAACAAAACACCTTAATTCCTCTGTTTTTCCTCCCTCCTGCCTAGGAAAAACCTCACAAATGCAACCAGTGTGGTAAAGCATTTAATAGAAGTTCCACTTTAAACACACATACGCGAATACATGCAGGCTACAAACCGTTTGTGTGTGAATTCTGTGGCAAAGGATTTCATCAAAAAGGTATTGAACCCAGGAGATGTTGTCTCTCATGGCTGTTTTGGCCAAAGCCATATTAATCGTTGGGATATTTCAGAAAACGATATTTAAAATGCAAATAGTTATGTGAGGCTTAGGTTGCCAATTCTAAGACCCTACCCCTGAGTCTGATTAGTGTTAGAGAAAGGCATGGTTCATATACCAAGGGGATATATGAACCGCTGGTTCTCGCTTTATATAACTGAATTAATGAGTGTATATTAGAATGACGAGGAAAGGCCCTCCCCGTTGATGTTTAAAAATAAACTGAGGGAATCCAGTACCATGAACTGGCAGTTACAGCCCAGGCAGCTCTGGAGCTTGCTCACTAATCTTTGATGTGTCTTCTCCCTCCCCTGCATTTCAAGCTCCTTTCAGAATCACCTCCCTGTCATTTGTCTGTTTCAGGGAATTACAAAAACCACAAGTTGACCCACAGCGGGGAGAAGCAGTTCAAGTGCAATATCTGTAACAAGGCTTTCCACCAGGTTTACAACCTCACCTTCCATATGCACACCCACAACGATAAGAAACCTTTCACCTGCCCCACGTGTGGCAAGGGCTTTTGCAGGAACTTTGACCTCAAGAAGCACGTCCGCAAGTTGCACGACAGCAGTCTGGGGTTGGCCCGCACGCCGGCTGGGGAGCCAGGCAGCGACGCGCCGCCTCCGCTACAGCAGCAGCCCCCTACCACTCTGCCACCTCTGCAGCCTCCTCTGCCGCCCCCAGGGCCTCTGCAGCCTGGGCTCCACCAGGGCCACCAGTGATTGAGGCCAAGTTTCTTCTCACCCCCAGCTGGGGCCCCTACTGCAGGGGCAGAGGCAGACTAGAGCCAACCTCCAGGTCTGCAGAACCCGGGGCATGTTGGGCCCCACACTTTGAGGCGCACCAGAAACCTCTGCATTTCTTGGCCTTTGGCCTCTTGCATGCACCTGCTAAATGGTTTTGTGTATTATATTCTACATAGGCACTAACAATTATGAGAAATTTGGAGGGTTTTATGATTTTCTTTTTAATTTGGAAAGACTTCATCTCGGGTGGAGAGATGGTGTTTGTTTTGTTTTTAAACAAATTTCTGCTGTATTTATTGAGATCTGTATTATCTACCCGGGAATGCTGCACCATTTTAATTTTATTATTGTATATATTTCCATTGTGTCAATTCGGCTGTCTCAAGATGCCTGCTGATCGTTTATCACTATATCCTCCTTGGAAGTAACAACACTGTGTGTATGTTACACACACACACACACACACACACACACGTGTGTGTGCCTGAAAAGGTGCACTATGCATTCGTGAGCACATAGGTACACACACACCCATACACAATAGATAAGGGTGGTTCATTATGAATGAATTTGAATTTCGGTTTTGATTTTTGCACGTGAAAGTTGATTCACTGACTGTTGGAAATAAATACTTGGAACATGATTATTTAATCAACAAACTTTAGGGCTCTGTTTGTATTATTCAACTAAAGATCTCTGGTTCTGACCCTCTCTCCTCCTTTTTAAAAAGTTCAACTTTTGATTACTATCAAATGCTAAGATCTGAATATTCACCAAATGCAAATCGTCTCTGCAAGTGGTTACAGCTTTGGGTAAGGTTATGCAATTCAGTAAAGTTCAGAAAAAGAAAATGTGTATTTTTCTATCAGAAACATGACTTTGGTTTGGGTCTTCTGACACTGGTGGTGCACAGTAAGGTGAGAACAATATATCTAGGAGTCGTGTGTCACATTTCCACCAAAGCACCATAATATCATTTTGAAAGGTATCTATTGTTTGCTTCCTGAAGCATATACTGATTTGTACACTGCTGGCGAAGAGAGCTCCATGTTTTTCATGTGTATATGTTTATAGACGAATATATGCCCCTTCAAGGAGGAAACATGGATGAAAACCAAACTGTGGCGGGTGCCAGGTCCTTGAAACGCTTCAAGTGTTAATCAGCAGCTCCGCTGTGAGCTCGGGCTCTGGTGTTTTCTAACTGCAAGTCTCTCCTGTTTTCTTGCCAAAACAGTGAAACAACTGCTAAAGACTTTAATTAAGAGGGGTAATTAGTTCAGATTTATCAAAGCCCGGTTGTTATACTATTAGCTGCTCAGTAGAAGCTGCCAGACAAACTCACAGCTCAGCACAGTAGCCCGCTGCAGCGGGGCCACATCCTGGGAGTGAGGCGGAGAGGAGCGGGCATAGGGGGTTCCTGCCTTGCCTCTGCGGTCCCCGCCGCCCCTCCCAGCCCCGGGTGGCCAAGGTCAGACCCGGGGTGTGTTTGGGCCCCTCCCTCTGCTCACGCGCTCCTGCCTGGGCTTTGGGCAGCGGTAATTCACCGCGTATCCTGCGCAGGCTTCACAGCGCCCAAGAAGTTTCTTTTCTTGCCTGAATCCAGGCAGCTTTGACAGCTCTAGGACCTCTCGACCATTGCAAAGGGAGTGCGGTGTGGGGTTGCAGCGGTGCCTCTCTTTTGTGCGTCATAAGGTGCCCAGGGAAAGGTGGCGCGTGGGGCAAAAGGCCAGACCAAAAGCGGGAGATGGGCCGAAGGCAGTGCCAGGACGGGGAAATAGTTTCCTTGGCAATCCGGACTCACATTTCAAGGCCGGGAAGGATTGACAGCTCTGGACGGCAACAGTGGCCTACTAGGCTGGAAAGTGACAAAGACCCCCCGCTGGGTGATCAAGGACTTGGGGGTGAGCCAGTCCCTTGGGGAGGTTCAAGCCGCTTTCGGCCCCTGCACCTTCCGGATTGGGAAGAGAAGGTCTGGGGAGCTGGAGAGTACTGGCGAGAGGTGAACCGTCAAGATTCTGGAGAACAGCGAGGTTTTGACGCCCAGTGCTGGCCCCGGAGCGCAAGTTCTGTGTGTATGGTGACAGGTCCCAGCCCAGGATTCACTAGCTCTAATTCCGACATTTGTCTTTTCCTGATCTCCTCACAGCCCGACTTTGTCCTCTCTTGAGGCCAAGTCCATGTCCAATTTGACTTCTGAAAGCGATGGAGAGTTTGGGAATCCCATAGTTGGATAAATTCGGATCCCCACGTCCGTCCGTCATAAGCACCTTTTCTCTCTTAAAAGGCAGCCAACTTGATTATCTTGTCCCAAGCCCTGGCCAACATTCCCTCACAAATGCCAGAGCAGCAAAGGGAGTTTAGGCAACTGCCTCAGAGGTTAACCACCTTTTCCAGGTGGCTTAGTTGGATCTTGGAAGCACTTTTCTCTGAGTAAGAAGAATGAGATCAGGGATCATTATAATTTGTAATGTATAAATTCAAGTTAAATAGTAGAAAATGGCTTTTGGTTTTTGAACTTATTCCCAATAAGCATTTGAACTTATTCTCAAAACCCAGCATGTAATTACTCTGAACATTCAAGGTGTCATGATTGTATTGGTGGAAAACAAAATAAGCATTGTTAAGAAATGTTTATTAAAGAAAAAAAAATTCCTCCAGTTAGGGAATAGTTCTGTGTGGAGTTTGTTAATCCATGCTAGTGTGCTTTGACAATGAAAAAAAAAGTTTTTCACAGAAGAATATGGCTGCGACAATGTAGGAAGAAGAATGAAGAAAGAGATGGGCAAGGGGTAGGAGAGAAAAAAGCTAGAGAAGGAAAGAAAAGCTAAAAAAATAACGGTTCTGTTGTAAAATGGAATAGCTAGGTGGAAGGTCTGACTTGGGATAGTTCAATAGTCCCACGGAAGGTAGGCAAAAGGAAGTTGTTGTCTGTGGGCTCATAGGTTGGAGCAGCCTGAAGTGTTGTGATCAGATAGAGGAAGCCAGAGGAAATTCTCTAAAACTAAGCACTCAGGAGAACTACTTGTCAAGAGAAGAATTCTTAGTGAACTCTGATTTGACACAGCTCTCAGAGCTTACTAAACATCAAGGAGGATCTCCTTAAAGAGAGTGTGAGTTTAGAGATTAAGTTTATGGGGGCGGGATTGATAAGGTGGGACACTTAGCTGTTAGTCCACAGAAGTCCTTAAAATTCTCTGCACTCTGGCACACACTGAAAGGTGATTTTTTTCCTCAACTCCTAACCTATGTGTGTATGTATGCCTGTGTGTGCATGTCTTTGTGAGGTTGCATAGATATTTTTTGAAATTTAATATCTTTTATTTCATGTAAGAATATAAGAAGTATTTAGAAAGTAACATCTTTTATTTAAAAAGAAAACATTTAAAAAAGGTACATTGACATAAAAATACTCGATTTTTTCTTTTAAAATTTGATGTGCAGATTCTTAATATTTGAACTATATAAATTAACTTGTTAATTTAAAACTAAGTTTGTTTCCCTCCCTTAATTATCTAATAGGAGAGAAAGTCTCGGGCTGTTATTTATAAGCATGTCTCAAAATTACATTTAGATATGAAAGGTCCTTATTTCCATCGAATTAAAAGCTAAGTTGGCTTTTAATACTTGGCTGCATTTTATTTTTTAACATTGATTTTTTTAAAAAAATTTTATTCTAATTTGTTATATATGATAACAGAGTGCATTACAATTCATAGTACACATATAAAGCACAATTTTTCATATCTCTGGTTGTATACAAAATATATTCACACCATTCGTGTCTTCATACATGTTCTTAGGGTAATCATGTCCATCTCATTCCACCCTCATTTCTACCCCCATGCCCCCTACCTTTGCCCTTCCCCTTCCACCTCTTTGTCCCATCTAGAGTTTGTCTAATCTTCCCATGCTCCCCCTCCCCAACCCTCTATGAATCAACATCCTTATGTCAGAGAAAACATTTGGCATTTGGTTTTTGGGGATTGGCTAACATCACTTAGCATTATCTTCTCCAATTCCATCCATTTACCTGCAAATGTCATGATTTTATTCTCTTTTATTGCTGAGTAATATTCCATTATGTATAATAACACATTTTATTTATCCATTCATCTACTGAAGGGTAGGCAACTAGTTTGGTTCCACAGTTTAGCTATTGTGAATTATGCTGCTATAAACATTGATGTGGCTGTGACCCTGTAGTATGCTGTTTTTAAGTACTTCGGGTATAGACTGAAGAGTGGGATAGCTGGGTCGAATGGTGGTTCCATTCCCAGTTTTCCAAGGAATTGCCATACTGCTTTTATATTAGCTGCACCAATTTGCAGTCCTACCACCAGTGTATAAGTGGGCCTTTTCTCCCACATCCTTGACAACACTTATTGTTGTTTGTATTCTTAATAGCTGTCATTCTAACTGGAGTGAGGTAAAATCTTAGAATAGTTTTGATTTGCTTTTCTCTAATTGCCAGAGACAATGAACATTTTTTCACATATTTGTTGTTGATTGACTGTATATCATCTTTTGAGAAGTATCTGTTCAGGTCCTTGGCCCATTTATTTTTGATTGGGTTATTTTTTTTATTTTTTATTTTTTGGTGTTTAGCTTTTTGAGTTTTTTTATATACCCTAAATATTAGTGTTCTATCTGATGTAAAAACTTGCTCCCAAGACATAGGCTCTCTGTTCACCTCACTGATATTTTCTTTTGCTGAGAAGAAACTTTTTAGTTTGAATCCATCCCATTTATTGATCCTTGATTTTAATTCTTGCACTATAGGAATTTTCTTAAGGAAGTTAAGGGCCTAATCTAACATAATGGAGATTAGGGCCTACTTTTTCTTCTATTAGACACAGGGTTTCTGGTTTAATTCATAGGTCCCTGATCCACGTTAAGTTGAGTTTTTTGCGTGGTGAGAGATAGGGGTTTAATTTCATTTTGTTGCATATGGATTTCCAGTTTTCCCAGCATCATTA